GGGAGAAAAGAATCGAAAGAAAAGTCCTTCGGGCATCATTCTACACTTCATATTATAGTCCTTATACTCCGGAGAAACCCTCCATGTGTAACAAAAGAAAAACTTTCATCTGAGAATCTAATCCCGTAATATCCTTGGTCTTGTAAATTAGAGAACCTTAGAGTCATATGGAGATCCTCTTTTCTGTGTCTTCTGAATACCCGGGATGGCGGGAGTCTTAAAATTAAACTTTCAGTCAGATTTTAGCGTACTGAAATAATGTGGCGAGATGCTTTTTAAAAAAAACTCTCTCGAGTTAAACTCTGCCGATCGAGATTTCGAACCGTCGATTTTTCGAATCTTCCAATTATACGAAGTATTAATTCGCTCTCTAAGCAAAGCTTTAGTGGAGCATGGAGCCCAATACGTGAAATGCCCCTGGGTCGATGGTAACGGTTGCTCTTGACCGCGCAAGAGCCTGGCTTGGAATATTTTGGATTAGTACTGCATCTATGATACCATGAAGTGTCCTTAATTTCCGGTTGTGCGGACTTGCCACGTCACCATTTCCAACATGTCAGAAAATTCCAATTCCTAACATGACGTTGTTACTAAAATTAGAACTCCCGGTTGACAATAAGTGAAATACTGTTTTATTCCACGTAGAAGCTGTAGTTGTTGGCAGGGTTTTGTACACTTGGCACTCGTTATTCGACAAAATGGTGGTAGATGTTTCTTCTTCCACGGTGAGTTTGGATCACCTGTACGCCAAGAAAGATGTTTTGCTGGACGAAGATATATTTTCGAGCGCCTCGGATTTTCTCGACACATGGACTCAAGTAAGTTGGCACACTTCCGATCGTTAAATTCCACTAGTTTGTAAGATGAATCTTTCGTTTTCAGCGGATAAGTGTCTCTTGTTGCAGACACATGAAGTTTGTTTATGTGAGCGATGTTTCACAGCCGACCATAGATCGACCATATAGTTCGTTCCACGTTCGATTCATTACATAACTTTTCCAAATTCCATCAAGTTCTTACTTTGTTGGACGACAGCTGAAAGTCTGTAAGCTCATGATCAAGCTTATAGATGTTCTCTATCAGCCTTATATAATAATGTTATTTAGGAAGTCAAGGTTGCAAAATTGGGTCAACATGTAGTGTAATATAAATGCTAACACAAGCTTGAGGAATTCTGGTTTGTATGCCGAAAAGACTGCAAAGATTGCAGCATATATAGCTCTTATCATCCACATACAAGGTGATTGAGACCTTAAGCTCTAGCAATATGTGAAGTGAGAGGTTGACATGGTT